GGAAGGAAGGAAGGAAGGAAGGAAGGCAGGAAGGCAGGAAGGAAGGAAGGAAGGAAGGAAGGAGGGAAAGAAGGAAGGATGGAAGAAAGAAGGCACCATGACAGGTTTGATTTTTCTTGCTTAGATCAATATTTATGACTTCTAATTTTAAAAGTCTTGTTAGATCTCATTTACTACCTAAACTAGCATTCTTACATAAAAAGAGGAAAAAGTTCTGACTAGGAAAAAAAAGAAAAACAACAGAATAATTTAGTTTAAAAAAAAACTGTGATCTTTGGAATAAATAAAAAAGTAGACAAACAATAGTAACTTGATAGCACTGATAGAATAATTAATGCTCTGATAGTATTTTATATTTCTAGTAATATGATTTTTTGTGAATACAATTCATAAAAAGCACATATAAAGTAGACCACTACCACACATCCATAGAGGCTCTTCACTTTTTGTGTTTGTTCCTTTTTATTTTTTTTACCAATCGTCAAAATGTTTTGATTCCCTGGTAGTTTTTTTTTTGTTTTTTGTTTTTTAATTTTCTCAACCTATATATAACTCAACTGCAGCTATTCATTATATTAGTTTCCCTTCTGACCTTCACCTAGCAAAGAAGTACACATTCCTAAATGTTTTTGATATGTAAAAATGGCAATTTCATAAAATTCAGAATTTCTTCTGGTATTAGCTTTGATTGCCTAAGTCAATCCCTACATTAATTCTAATCATGAGCTGGAAAGGTCCTCACAGGTCGACCGCTCCAAGGTTCCTGCTATTTTTCCAACATCAGGTGTTTAGAAGATGAGCCCCAGGTCTCCTCACTCAGTTAAGTAATCTTGCTGCAAATCTATGGCTTTCTTGCTTGTTCAAATGCATCTGCCATAAGAAATATATTTTTTTATTGTGACTCAGTGAATTCTTAGTGCATAAAATTGCAACAAACTTTTCACAATTTTCTACTACGCTTCTTAGGTGTAACACTTCTGATATTTTCAATGCTACTGTCCTTTCTTTGTTTAGAAATGCTGGGTCTGTCCCATTTGATTGATTGCATGACCCACTCAGTGGTAATGGCCCACAATTGAAAAAAATCCCAGACAATTTTACAATCTGATATATTTCCTTATTTTTTAAAAGAGGAACTGGTCTCACTCATTTTAATAGTTGCAGTCATCTACTCAACCAATTAGTCTGAAGCTTGTTAAGCTCAAATTGAAAGCATGTTTGATTTTTTTATCCATATTTTAACTTCATCATTGCCGTCACATGGTAATAAAACATTTTTTCAAAGTGAAATTGCCTCCTCTATTTTATCCTCACACTCTTTCGTCACCATTTTTATTGTCTGTAACATTTATGTTATCCATAGTAGCTTCTGAAAATGCAATACATGAATCCAAAATAATTTCATAGAGTAAATGGCGGCTGTTTAGGCCCAGGGATACACACTCTATTTCTCAGGTAAAGTCAATGTTAAGAGGCCACATTCTGGATTCGACCATGAGACTCACGTTGGTGAACCCTCAAGAGGGACACTAGAGTAACAGGTGAGGCCGCAGGAAGCCAAATGATACGAATAGAATTGGTGCTGTGTGTCTGGGATGCCCCAGCTGGCAGTGACGACTGTTTTCTGCCTACACAATGTACACATATTCACAGATACATATATTCAACATTTGACTAATGTTTTCAATCAGACCAAAACTAAATATAATTAGCCTACATATAACATAATACAATTAAAACAAATAATAATCCCCCTTTTTCAGATCCATGAAGAAGAGAAAGACAGTTAAGGATGCTTACAAATGAAGCTTTCCCAATTATGGTCCCTTTCAGATATATTCTGTGATAAACTGATTTTCCATGTTCTAGAGCAGGGGTAGACGAATTACAGCCTGCAGTCTGGTTTTGTCAATAAAGTCTCATTGGACACAGTTATGCTCATTCATGTACATATTCCTTATGCCTGCTTTTATGCCACAATTGCAGAATTGAATAATTGCAACTGAGACTACTTGGCCCCAAAGCTTGAAATATTTATTATCTGGCCCTTTACAGGACAAGTTTACCATCCTGTGTTCTAGACAGTGAATTAAAACTAGAAAGGTGGCTTTCATAATCAAAGCTCTATAAAAATGAAGAGTAATAATAATCCCTTACAGAAGCTTTATAATTTGTAACATATTCTCATTCATATTATTTTATTTTATTTTTTTATAAAAATAGTCATACAATTAGTGTCTCATAGGCCTGGTGACGTCTCAAGATGTTCAATTAGGCTTCCGAATCCAATCTTATAGTGTCCTCTGCTTTCTGCCCGTAATGGTGCCCTGGCATGTAGGTTAGCTCTACCAGTAACAGGAGAAGCACTCTTACCCGACCTGTACCTAATCACTTTCAGGAAACAAATTAATGTTCTCCATTGCCCTCTGTGACACCACTGACTATGGTCAGAACAAAGTAAATAATAGAGGCTACTGGGCTACCTCCTGATACACCCAAGCACTTCTGATACTTAATAAGATGCTGTTAAATTAAAGCCCATTGTGCTTATGATAACACTGTTCAATTATAAGTACATTAACTAATAAAATATGAATGCAAAATAAGAAAGCATTTATAAAAATAGTCATTGATTTTAGGAACATTAGATTAAAAGTTTTGGAAAAACCCAACTAAAATGTTGGTAAAGGTAGGCTGCTAAAAAATGTGATGCAACAAATTAGGGTGTAAACATTAAAAAAATGTATCTATAGTTAGGTTGCCTAGGTTTTTGTTTTATTTTAAAGAAATTAAAATATACTATACATCTTAGTACAATTTATGTAAGAAAGAAAAATTGAAACATATTCAAACAAAAAGGACTTGACCTTATATCAAATTATTGGTAAATGGGCATTTCATATTTGAAGTGTAAAAAAAACCCCAGCAGGAAAAAGGATATTCTCTCTGCTAACAGAAATATTTGCATGCTTAGGGACTTGAAAAGATTTAAGTTATTAGTAATCCCCAGACTAAGGCTGAGTTCTTCAGACTTCTCATCTAATGCTCTTTCGGCCATTCCACTCTAGATGCCTTCTCGGTCTGATATGCTCATGAGGGTAAATATCACATTCCCTTCTTTTACAAAGCATTGAATTGTCTGAATGGGTTGGCACATTTGGATTTAGGGAAAGAGTATTTCTAAATTTCACAAATATCACTTCATCAAACATCATTGTTTCTGAATAACATAATTGTCAGTATTTGGAGAGGCCAGTTCTCAGTTTGAACGAAACATTTTTTTCAAGTCGTTAATGCTACAGGGCATGTTTTTATAATTTTTGAGAAACATTCAACATTCTAAATTGATACTTTAATTAATCATCTATTTCTCAAAACAGAACCTCAAATATCTTGTTTAACTGATTTTGTATGTGTATGACACCAAAACCTGACTAAAAATTTCATTGCAATGACCAGTAGTGGTTGGCATCAGTCAGCATATTTTTACAATTCCATTTTTTTATTTGCATGTCTCCAGAATTTTGGAACCTCTGAAAATCCAACAATTCAATTTTCATGTACACATAAATCTTACATTGGAAGAATTGCTATTGTCATAAATGGAGTATACTGGTGAGTCTCATACACATCATTTGACACTACCACTAAATTTGTTAATATTGGTGTCATAAAGAATGACCCGCTATGAACCGAGAAGAAATAATTTGTTTCTTAGAGCCTAAAAGAACAAGTGTTGGTAACAACCTTGATGCTTAATAACTATCAGTCTTAAATAGATATCTAAAAATGAGACCAGAAGTAGCCTATCTTTTCCATAAGCTGCTTACTTTCTTAGTCATTAGTCCTTCTCGCCCCCTTTTCCCCCCCACTCATTTTATTTTATTTTTTTGGGGGGTGCTATTGAAACCATAACATTATTATAGAAATAATCGTTGAACTCACGGGTCATTAGACTTTGGAATAAGAGTGCCAAGCTCCTTGATTCGGTAATTAATATTATACCTTCTTCTTCTTTCAACTATTAAAAAAGAAATATTATTTATTATTCTCATTAAAGCACAATTCACTTTTGGTCAGCAGTAAACTTTCTTAATAATTTAAAAAATCAATGAGCAAAAAAATTCCCATTTAGTCAAGAGTACTCAAAAATAAAAATTCAAATGCTTTATTCAAAAAGTAAAAATAACAATAATAGAATTATTATTCCAATTATTCATAATGCTTTAAAAACATTTTCTCCCAAAACGTGTATTGTATTCTTTGAAATGCCATAATATTTACTCATACTGAAATATATATATATATATATGCATATATATATATGCATATATATATATATGCATATATATATATGCATATATATATATATGCATATATATATATATATATATCCTGTTTCCCCGAAAATAAGCCCTTGCATGATTTTAGGTGACAAAAGATGGCACCTTAGCAAACTGAATATTTTAAGATGAAGAAGTTTGTGGAAAAGGCATCCTCTTCCTGAAACAGGTCATATAACCCTCATGTGAGGGGTGCGTACCCTCCATATACTGGAGGAATCATGTTAGGGCTTCTTCTCTGGCTAAGTCTTATTTTTGGAGAAACACAGTAGTATATAGGATATAGATGAATATATGTATACATATGTATATAGGGTGTGTGTGTGCGTGTGTGTGTGTGTGTGTGTGTGTATCTCCTATTTGACACATATGCATTTTTGTCAGTCCATAAGGATTAATAATCTGTTGAGGTCTGTACCATGCTTTACACTTTTTATATACTTCCCTGAAGTCCTGACACAACGTTTGGCACATTGCAGGTGTGTGTGCCCAACTAGAATATAACCTCCTTGAGAGCAAGGACCATTTCATCCTCATTTTTGTATCCCCAGATGGATTGGCATATAGGAGGTGCTAAATAAATGTATGTTGTCTTGACTGTAAATATTGGGTTGTCAGAAAAGTCATGACGCATTTTTGCAGTGAAAAAATACGTTATGATTTTTCTGACAACCCAATATATTTTTCTAATTTAAAAATTTCCTATAATATATAAAGCAGTGGATTTTAAACTTTGGTGTGCATCAGACATACCTGGAGGGATTGTTAAAATAGATTTGTGCCCAACAGATTCTGAGTCTGGTAGGTCTGGGTTGGGCCCCAGGAATTTGCATTTCTAACAAGCTTCCCGGTGACGCTGATGCTGTTTTTCTAGGGGCCACATTTTGAGACCTACTGATACAAGCTCTTATTCAGAGACTGTTTTCTCTGTTTGTGTTTCCATTCATTTATTGCTTGTGGAAATTCTGTGCATCTGATAGATGTTTAATAAATGTCAGATATGCAAATAAATAGAATTTCCTATATCGACCTTTTCTAATTGCAGTCTTATAGAACATAGAGCAGTCTTACAGTCTACTCTCTATTCTAGTATCAAGAACTATAACCTATATTGTATATAATATTTTTGTAAAGGTATCATTTTTAAAGCTTTCTAGAGAATTGAAGGAAGAAAAAGGTCATGAAGAAAGAGAAAATCATGTATCAAAAATACTGGAAAATACTTAAACAACACGTGTTTGAAAATTAAGATCTGCTACCAGAAACAAGGAAAGTCATGAAAGACGATCAATTGTCTTGGCAAACCCACTCTACAAAGCAATTTACCATGAATGGATTTGACCTTCAGTAATAATACATAGGAATTCCTCTAAAATTGGAATATAATTTACTATTGACAGAGTTTGTTTTCCCTCTTTACCAATCCTATTTTCTCTATGCATGTGATTAAAAAGACAATGACACCACATTAAAAAAAGAACTGAGAAGAAAATAAACAAAGGTAAAGCTGATAGGAATACATATATATTTTACAGTGAGAATTTATTAATAATTCTGTGTTCACACATACTTACTCATATTATAAAACAGACTTTTAAATATAAGATGAAGAACAGCTATAAAGGATTTTATCTCAAAATAGGGGTGTGTTTTAGTCCTACAATATTTCTCCAAAATCTATTATTTAAATGCACCTTATGTAAAATATCAGAAGTTCATACTCCACTGTTCTTCGATTGTGCTGCATACATTTTTAATGGCTAATTATAGTGAGAACTTTGCTTCCTCAATGTTTTCATATCTAGTACTAGTTATTTGTAAAGGTGTCCAGTTCTAAGAATTTATTGTTATTTCATGCCCTGTGTAGTTTCACTCTTCACAAAGGTTTGATATATTCATTTATTCTGTTCTGAGGCCCAGTGAGAGGGACCCGTATTCCAGACCCATACTTAAGGGAAATCACTTTCGTCTTCTCTCACCACAACCCTCCCCACTGAGCAAGGCAGCCGCAGAGCCAGGGGAACCCCTTCTAAAGCTTCACTCTGGATAATCTATATGAGGACTATCCTCAAAATGCCAAGAGCCCACTTTTCAGAACCAGTGTGTGCCACTTTCCAAGGTCCACGCTCCTGAGGACCAAGGCGCCAGTGTGCTCACCCCCAGGCCCAGGAGGTGGACACGGGGCAGAGACATGTATGGAACTTGAGCATATGAGATGAGGGGTTCACACTTATGCCTGAGGGTGCCAGCAGCACAGGAGGGATATGGGGGTGGGGAGAGAAGACAGATGGGCGGGCATTGCCCAACACTGACACCCCTGCTCAGAACTCCAAGGATCTGAGAATTCTACATTTAAGACAGGTTAGCTAGTGTAAGAATTAGGCAGTCAGAAACTCCCAGGTAGGATGAGCAAAAGATAAACATATCTCCAAGGCCTCTGCCCTCAGCCCTGACCCCAAAAGCCACAGCCTTGAGACAATTTACTCCTACCAGACCAGAGACATCCATTACACCCTGAGGCAACTAAAACTATCCTAAAAAGCCTCCTCCAGGCTGAAACGGTGGCGGAAATCAATCTAACCTGTTCAAGCAGGTGCCAGTTTTCTCCCCAGATAGGCTAGGAAAAACATAAACAGAAGCCTCCCCGCTAGTCAGCAGGCACTCCAGTTTCGGATGCTCCCTCGCTTTTAGAGAGCTGTATCTCTTTACTCTAATAAACTGTCCTTTACTGCAAACTTTGCCTCTCTGGTCCGTGTCTCCATTCTTCGGTGCTATGAGACCACGAATCCCGGCGTCAATGCACAAATCTCCCTGCATCACATTCACCCCTGGCCTTCCAGTCCTTCGGAAGGAGAGAGCATACTTATTTTAGCACTTTCTAGCTGGAGTTATAACTTTTAAATATTTAGACATCTGGCAAGTGGGACTTCCTTAATCCTCTTGCCATAATCTTCACAAATTGTAGGGCTTGTCCTAGATTCATCATACTGAAAATGTAATATTGTTTCTTTTAACATTGAAACCTCCAAAAAGGTCATTCAGTAAGGGAATCCAGATTAGAAACACTGATAATGGGCATACCAGGCACCTCACATACTTTGCATTAAATGACCTATTGTTTAAGCTACAGACAGGAAAGGAGAAGCAAGGAGGGAATAGTTAGCAGGTTAAAGCTGCGAGAGAAGCCCACAGTTCCTTGATGCATTTATTCCTTCTCTCAGTAATTAGCTCTCCCTATTCATACTCCACTTGCCTCAGAATCTGAACCAAAGCTTATCTGCTGTACCACTAAGGGCTACGGAAGTCAGATCACTTCCCTCTCACAACTACCCTAACGACCGTCATAACCTCTTATAACCTCGAGTCAGCACTTTCCTCAGTCACGTAGTCAGCAAACTGATTACATAATCTGTGACAGACAGATGCAGGTTTCACAGGTACTCATAGAATCAATTTCAGCTAATCACGTGTAAGGAAATTCCTGGTTTGTTTTCATAGCATTAAAGTTTTTATTTATTTTTATTTTAATCTTTTCTCATTTTTTTATTTTTTATTATTATTAGTTTAAGGTGTACAGAACAATGCAATAGTTATCCTTTTCACCCCTCATACAGAAACAAACCCCCTCCCCAATTTTTTTATTTGGTTTTGAGAAGAAAAAGTCTTCATACTCAATTAGCCAAGCTCATTTGAGACAGCAAAGCACTTGAGACATAACCAAACACTATTCAGTTCAACATTGCTGCCAAACTACTTCCTGTGCCTGTATTTCTCCATCTCCCCCACCTGTTATCAGAGTTAAATTGCCCTCCAGAAAGGAATCAGAGACTTTTTTTTTTTGCAGAGATGGAATTCAGCAATCCAACATAAGCAGAACCTTTCAGATAACTGATTGACACAGAAAGGTGAGAACCGGGGGTTGTGTTTCTTGCTATTTAAATTTAAATGGGGTAGATTTTCTACAGTCAGTTTATCTCTTTAAGCCTTTGAGTCATGAGTGACCACAGAGTTCAAATGTGACTAAGTTCACTCATCTCCATCACTGGTAGCCTTCTTCAGAAAGAGTGACCAAGGAGAGAATTTGAGATGTTTCACTTCATAAACATGTTTAGCTTTTCTGCAGTTCACATCATTTAAATTCCCCCAAACAGTTCAACTAGTGAGCATGTACTATTAATTCTGGCCATCTGACCTCGAAATACTTATGGACTTACAAGGAAAGACCTTACATTTTAACCTACATGCATTTCCTCTTGCATTAATTCATTTTGTTTGGATAAAAGGAAAATAAATGTACTCACTGAGGTTGTGGTTGTCCTTTTTCTGTCTCTCTTTTGCCAAAGCTCGAGTATCGGTTTCTGATCAAAAGAAAATAATTGAAACAGTACTTAGTTTTACTTCCCTACATAATTCAGGAATACTAGGTGAAAATACAATATTACTTACCCAAATGGTATAATGCTATTTTTATGCAAATATTTAGAAATTTGGAGTAGATGACTCTTTAGTAAAAAGTAATAGCAAACCTTTAGGCTTTGAGTAGTAAAACTTGAATTTGTATCCTGGCCCTCCATTTAATAGCCATGTAATTTTTTTTTTTTTAGCTGAGCCATCCTGCCACCTGTTGGCAGCTCAGCAGCTGCTCAGCTCGGGCCGGGACTCGAACTGCTGTTGCTCAGAGCTCAAACTCTTGAGCAAGCTCTTAACCAACTGAGCCACTCAGCCGGCCCTAGCCATGTAATCTTTTACCTAAATATTCTGTCTCAGTCTCCTCATTCACAAAATTAGTATAATACCAACCTGGTAATCATTATGATGATGAAAAGAGGTACAGTATACAACAAATATTAAACTGCTCAATCATTATTTTCAGAACTTTAAGATTATTCAAAATTATCCCAACCTAAATTTGTACACCTCCACACTTGCAGTAAATGACATTTTATGTGCTATGTGGTTGGAGCATTTGTGACAGTCTTCAACATGGTCCACAATGATTCCCCCTCATGATATTGGCACCCTTGATAGTTCCTTCCCACACTGAGTAGGGCTGACCTGTGAAACCAATAGAATATTGTGGAAAAGACTAATGTGGCTTCCAAGACTAGGTAATAAAAGGCATTTTTAACTTCCACTTTGGTGTCTCTTGGATCACCAGTTGTTGTGTCATGAGGATGCTTTACCAGCCCTATGGAGAGGTCTACATGGTAAAGAACCAAGGTCTTGCCAAGAAGCAACACTAACTTGCAAGAGCTGTGAGCAAACTACCTTGGGAACACATCCTCCAGTTTGTTAAGTGCCAAATGTCTGCTTCTCTGGCCAACTTCTTGACATAGTCTTGTGAGACACTCTGAGCCGGAACCAATTTTCTAAGCCACCCTTGGAATTTTGACTGTTAGAGATTATATGAGATGATAAGTGTTTATTATTTTAAGCTCTTAAGTTTTGTGGTAATTTGTTGTACAGAAAGAGATAATTAATACAGTCTTCTTGAATAATTCCAGTTTTAAAAATAAGGAATATAGAGATAAATTTATTTAAATTTGTTTATTTAAAACTAATTCATTAATCTGAATCAAAATTATTTGGAAGCATAGACATTTTTGAGTTATTGATTAGAGTCCAAGGATAGGCATATTGCATTTACTAAAAATGTTAATATTAACTGTGTAAAAATTATTAAAGACCAATGTTTGGGCTCCAAACTAAAAATGTTTTATAGAAATTTCAACTGAATTTTCTTTTATTCTTATGGAGAAACTAACAATTGACTTATAAATCAAGAAATCCTTATTTTGATCCATTTCTTCCTCTATCAGCTAATAACTTTGGGAAAGTAACTCCTCTGACCCTCGATTTCCTCTTTATTTTGGAGGAACTTGACAATAATTCCTTTGAGTTGTGACAATTCTGAAATGTACTATTGAAAATTGAGTTTCTTTCTTTTTTTTTATCTACTTGACAAAGTTAAATGTGAGTCTATCATGAAATTCATAACACAAGCTAAAAGGGGAAAATCTAATTCTTTGTTTCATATCAAATTCTACATACAAAAAGGGCTAATTTTCCCTAATCTAATAATTTATTATTTTGTAACCATGTTAATAAATTGCATCTATTTAATATCAAAATGAATGTATGTTAAGTGAAGAAGTTAGTTAACCTGCTATATATATATATATATATAT